AGATCTTGTGCGTACAGAGGGCCTCTGGATTTTTCCTAGTCCCTAACAGTAGTACATTTACCAAGAATCTATTTTAACCCTGCTGTCAAATTTCGACTAATAAAGACATATATATATATAAAAAAGAGAAAGTCATCGAGGTTCCCCTGCCCCTGTGTGTGTCGAGAAGCCTTCCTGAAGGGCGACCTTGGCCTGCTCACTCTACTGTCTGGATTTCTGATTCTGTGTTAAATTCCCGGGGCAGCCAGCCTCTCATCTCTCCAGGAATGCAGAAGCTGGGACTGGAGAGCTGAGCAGGACGCCTTCTCAGCCTTTCCCAGGGGTCTTCTCTTCCCAGACACTCTGAGAGGAAGGCCCTTATCTGCTCCCAGTCCCTGTGCCCACTTCCATCAGAAGAGAGGAACTGGCGAGTGCTGGACAGAACCCTCTCTTCCTTACTTAAGTCTTTCTAACAAGGAAGCAGCTGATTTCACCATTCATTTGTTGAACTCATGAGTTCAATTCAGATTCATTCATTGAACTCTAACTCTTTTAGAGTTAGGTAATATGGTTCAAGGTCTAGGAGAGAAAAGAGTGAATAATAGCAACTGGTAAGTTCCCAGGTTTCATGGAGCATAGGTTTTGTGAGGAGAAAAGCCTAAGAACAAGTTAACAAATGTATACATGAGATCACTTCAGAGCATAGGAAATGCAAAGAGGGGATATCAAGGGGAGGTGACAGAAGGAACCGGGGAGAAGGTGCTAAACGGTGTGGCCAGGGCAGCTCTCTATGAAGGTAGTGTGTGAGCCAAGGAGAGAGGGCACCTATGCAAACAGCAAAGGGAACCCAGGATAAGAGCCTCGAGCTGGGGAAGGATGCCCGTGTGTCTAGGATCAGGGAGGATGGCAGCGTGGCCATGATGCATCATCCATCAGGAGAGCCTGATGGTGTGAGCTGGGGGGTATTTGGGAACCAGATTATGCAGGGCTTTGGAGGGCCAGGTGGAGTTGGATTTTATTCAAAGCGAAATTGGACACCTTCTAAGGGTTTTTGAGTAGACTGCCAATTGACATGATCTGACACATTCTTTAAAATTTCACTTGTCTGAAACAAACAAACAAAAGATCACTTGTCTAAATGCTGAATGGAGGATGGATCAGAAGAGGAAGAGTGGAAGAAATCAGTCAGGAAGTAACTGCAAAAGTCCAGGTGGTAAATAATGGTGGTGGAACTAGGAAATGAGGAGACAGGGAGGATGTCGAGATCTATTTTGGAGATGGAGTCTGCAGACTTGTTCATGTATTGATTGGGGGCACTGAGGGAAAGACGGGAGTCAAGATTGACTCCTAGGCTGGGTGCCGTGGTACACGCTTGTAATCTCAGTGGCTCTGGAGGCTGAGGCAGGAACACTCAGGGTTGAGTGTTCAAAACCAGCCTCAGCAAAAGTGAGGCACTAAGCAACTCAGTGAGACCCTGTCTCTAAATAAAATAGAAAATAGGGCTGGGGATGTGGCTTAGTGGTTGGGTGCCCCTGAGTTCAATCCCTGTGCTGCCCCCCCCCGCCCCAAAAAATTGACTTCTAAATTTTGGCTTGGGAAATGGAACATAGGTGGTGATATTTAATCAGTTAGGAAGACAGGGTGGGCAAAGGTATTCAAGCATTTGTTTAGGTGCAGTACTTAGGTCATAATGCCATGGTATAAAAAGAATGGAAGTTAAACGGGGTGACATGGTGGCTGCACAACACCTGGGACTTCCTATCCTGATGCTTTTTTTTTTACTATGTGGCTTCTCGTGGCTGCCCCAGCTTGCACCTTGGCATCTCATTCCAATCAGTGAGCAGGCTTTAGAAAGGAGACAGGGAGGACAGACTCCTCTTCTGTCATAATTTGCCCTAATATTCGCTCACATCCTACTGACCAATAGCTGGTCAGGTGGTGGCATTCAGCTGTAGGGAAGCTGGGGGTAGTCATCAGGTACACGAAAAAAATGGCGGGGTCACTGAACTGGAGGTCAGTAACAGGTCAAGGATCCAAAACAAGGGGACTCTTGGGGTAATGGAGGTGGAAGGACAGGAGGTTGTGGCGAGAGGGTGGGTCCTTGAAATCGGGATTTTGGAGGTTCCTGTAGTGTGTAGGCTGAGGTGCAAAGGTCAAGGATGGAGAAGCCAGAGTGTTGGTGAAGTTATTTTCATGAATGCTGAATGTCCTCAAGAATGAGGTCAAGAGCAAGTGAGGGAAGAACAGGTGCTAAGGTCATTAGTGAAGAGTGAGAGGGGCTGAGGGGCAGGGCAGCCTGGTCCTGAGCTTCCAAGGAGGGAGCTTTTTAAGGAAGGAAAGGAGATATGATATGGTTCAGAAGCAGTGATACAGTATAAGGAGGACACCCCTTTGCACCTTCTGGTTCTGAGGTGATTAGCAGCTAAGGGAGTAGGCAGTTTCCATTTGAGAGCACTGTAGAGGCTGTGGGATTCTCAGGAAGTCTTAAAATGTTATCAAGTTTAGTTGACAGAAGTCAGGAGCAATGGCACACAAATGTAATCCCAGCAATTTAGGAGGCTGAGGAAGAAGGATTGCAAGTTTGAGGCCAGCTTTGGCAACTTAGAGAGACCCTGTCTTAAAATAAAAAATAAAAAGGGCTGAGGTTATAGTTCAGTGGCAGAGTACCCATGGGTTCAATCCCCAATACTGGGAAGAAAAAAAAAAGATTAGGTGGTAAAATATACAAAATAAGACATTGGGAATATCAAAGAATTGCTGATTACAGGTCAGGAATTCTATAAGCCACAATGAAAAAGTTTGGGAGGGAGAGACTGAGTAGAGATTGGGTTGGATCAGGGACTGGCAGAGCCAAGTGGAATTGGGGGTCTGGATAACAAGATCCCTAGAGGCTTTGACTTGGGTCCTTGAGGTCAACATTAACAGGTGTGACATTAGGAACGTGGTAACTAGCCCTCTTTCCTCTAAGAGCAACCGGGTTAAAGTGTAGATCTCAGAATCTGCCTAGATGGTTTAGGGTATTTTCAGAGACTGATTCCTGTGACCTAAGGTGATGGCCAATCCCACAGGAGTACGAAATACGTGCAAACAGAATAAATTTCCCAAATGATGTCTACATCCTAATCCCCAGAACCTGTGAATAAGTCCAGTTCTGTCATGAGTGGGGAAGTTTGCAGATAGAATCGAGGTGGCTAATCCACCGGCCTTAAAATAGGGAGATTATCTAGATTATCTAGATGGGCCCAAGGTAATAGGAAGGATCCTTAAATATGGACAAGGGAGGCAGAAGAGAGAACCTGATTGATGGCGGGTGAGAAGCCTTGACCAGATGTTGCTGGAACAGAGGGAAGGGGCCATGGGCCAAAGAATGTTGGAAAGGACGAGGAAGCAGATTCTTTCTGACAGCCTCCAGGGAAGGAATGTGGCTCTGTTGACACTCCTTGATTTTAGCCTAGTGAGACCCATCGGGGACTTCTGAACTACACAACTGCAAGATAATAAACCTGTGTTGTTTTAAACCAGCAAGATGGATCATGGTAATTTGTAATTAGAAAACCGATACCAGATGAAAGGTTCTCCTCTCCTGGTGACCGCTCCCTCCTGTAGGGTTGGATGCTATGACAGCTGGTAAGACAGAACTTTAGACCACGTTTCACAGAAGGGTGGAGCTAATGCATTAACAGGAATGCTCCTGAATAACTTGCCTTTCTCTCCTGCCCTCTCTCACAAGGACACAGGCTGGGACACAGCTTCCCTTCCCCCCTCTTTCTCCTCTGCTAATTCCTTCTCTGTTTGGTGGCTCAGGCAGAAGGAAGGCAAAGTGGGCCCTTTTGGGCTTGTGTCTCCATGACAGTCTCCAGTCCAGCTTTGCCAGAGAGGTCGGAGTGCTCTGGGTGGTGTGGCACTTGTCTGGCCATTAGTAAAATAGACACTTTGGTCTCCTTTTCTGTTCCTATTCTCGTCCTCTTCTCCATCGACTGGGCTCAGAGGGATGGCATGCAGGTGGAGCTCCCTGGGGCCTGGAGGGTAAGCTTAAAGGGGACTCTGTGGAGTGGATTTTAATAGGGCAAAGGCTCTGAAAGTAACTCTGACCAGCTGGTGTGTAAATGCAGCTGAGGCTGGAATGAAATTTCCCCAATTCCACGGGAGTAGAGACAACCAGACTGTGAAATTTTGGCTTCAGATTATGTGTGGCAGTCTTCAGTAGGTGAGGCTAGGTTGACTGTCCCAGTTTCCTGTCACCTTGGGATTGCACTCAGGGCCGCAGCAGGAATCATGGAGGGATTTAATTTATGATCTGATCACAGGCTTCTGGAATTATTTCCTGCCACATAATCTCCAGTTGGCTTGGAGTTGTACATTTATTAAGCTCTGACCGGGGCTGGGGATTTCAGAGGCCCGCTGTGGGACTAACCACAGTTATAAAGGAATAGGACCCCTGTAGAGAGGAAATGTCATTGTAGGAGGAAGTGGAAAAAACCTCATGGAATGATTACCAACCTGAAAGAACAATGAATAAGTCCTGTACCTGGAACGCTCTGTCCTTATAGAACAGACTTATTCAGGGAGCCTGGGGTTCATGTCAGAAACAAGTCTTGGTCTTTTTCCTTTTTTCTTTTGATGCCAGGGAGCAAACTCAGAGGGGGTTTAACCACTGAACCACATTCCCAGCCCTATTTTGTATTTTATTTAGAGACAGGGTCTGAGTTGCTAAGCACCTCACTGTTGCTGAAGCTGGCTTCGACCTTCCGATCTTCTGGCTTCAGCCTCCCAGGCCTCTGGGATTACAAGCCTGCACCGCAGTGCCTGGCTCAAGTCTTGGTCCTATAGTGAGAAAAGTCGGAGAGAAAGGAAAAGAGAGAAGGTGTTTCTGTTGATTGAGCTGAGAGAAAGGATGAGATTTTTCTGGGAGAAACGTTGAGCTCTTGGCGCCCATGCTGAAGATGGATTAAAAGGCAAAAGGAAGTGTTTACATGCTTAAGTACTTTAAAGGATAAAACTAGAGAAGAGTAGAAGATTCATTCCTTACTAGACCAGGAGGGTGAAGGAGGCCCCGAGAAATTTAACAAGGATGCAAAAGAGAAGGAGGCCACTAGAGGGAGCATGGACCCAGGAAATATTGTGGACAGTCGCTCAGACCTAGAGGTTTAGTGTAGAGATTGCAAACAGTACTAAGTAAGTTTCAGAGGGGCACAGTTGTTCATTTCTTTCTTTCTTTTTCTTTTTCATTTATTTATTTATTTTTTTGTGGGGATATTGCCCAGGCCTTGAAGAAACATGCCCAGGAGCCTTGCTTCACAGTTACTGAGAGGATGAAACTCGTGCACAAGAGAAATAGGTCTAGTTTAGTTAAATTGGGACTTCTGGGAACAATACTTTAAATCCCTAACTATAACATGATAACCCAAGAGACAGTGCGCACGTACCACCCTCTAGTGGTAAACTTCATGCTAAAATTAACCCTCCTTAGGAGAGTTCTCTGTTTGAGGTTCAAGTTTAAGTGGTGCAGACTGAGAGCATCCTCGCTGGTCTTTCTCCGAAGTCTCCAGGTTTCTGCCACGTGTGTTGCTGGCATGACAAGGCAATTCCTGCTGAGATCAAAGCTTCTGCCTGCCTTTTGGAATTTGAGGAGGAGGGAGAGACTGTCATTGAGATGCCTTGGCGTCGCCGCTTCCCTTCCAGCTGCATCTGTCCCCTGTGCCACCATAAGCTGCCTGCTGATGACCCTTAGGAAGAACCCAGTGAGATATACATGGCTGGAGACCTTATAGCCACACACACAGGAAGTGCTGTGGCTGACTCTGGCCTTCCATCTCTTCCTCATGCCCCTTGAACCTGTGTTAAAGGCTTCTCCCCCGGCACCTCAGCACCACTCAAAACCATGCACTAGGTAATGGAAACATAATTTCCCTGGGACCTGAGAATATGCCTGAGTTCCTAAATTTTGTAGGTGTGGAGCTGGTGCCGTGGACTCCCATGTGTCCTAGTTACATTGATTTTGAAAAAGATGGATCCCTGAGCTGCTTGGGGATGGAGTAAGTGAACTTTGAAGAAGCTAGAGGAAGTACTACCACTTCAGGGGGAAAAAGACCAGGATGCAGCCAATGGCCAGATGTAGCTTCCTTTGCAGTGAGTCCCCCTGGCTAATAAGGAGCAAAATAAGTAATGGGTACCCAGGGAGGGTGTGCGTCAGACTCTTATTTCCTTTTATTTTAGTTTAAAAGAGAGTTTAATTTCAGTTTTATTCTTTACTCCTCTTGAAATTAGGAGGGAGTTTATGTTCAAATTAAGGGCATTTTCTTGGTTGGTGGTGTTGAATTGTTTGGTATTTGACGCTGCCGTGCAGTGCTTATTTGGTAAGCCTCAAGGGAGCTGTATTGAGCCATGGGACTGAGCTGACTGCAGAGAGGAAGTAGAGTCTAGGGCACGGTACAGTTTTGGAGTTAATTCCCGTCCTACTAGGACCCAATCCAGCGGTCTCTGGAGCCAACAGCAGCTTGGCCACCTCACTGATTCCAGGAGGATACAAAGAAGAGCGGTGAGAACCTGTACCTCACTTTTCCTCCCCCTGGAAGTGTGATTAACAAATATTAAAGTCTTTTGCAAGTGTTGGGTGAGAAAATATGTGTAAAGCACTTGGAAATAGGGCCTGCCACATAGTGAGAGCTTTATAAATCCGTGGGCCACATGGTCACGTGTTTGGTCCCAAATGGCCAAATGTCTGCAAAACGGGTGGTCATCCTGGTGCACTGTTGGTCTTCTCCTTCCCACTCCCAGTCCTGCCTGTGATTGATCACAGGCCCATCAGTTAAGCCTTCCGCATTGAGAAAAGAGCAGGTGCTCATGTTGGGGGCTTTCTCCTTTATATGTTCCCTTCAGACAGAGGAGCAGGTTAAAGGGAGCCCACCTTTCCATTCCTCCCTCATTCCCAAGGGGATGGCCTTGGGAGTGAAAGCCTGGCAGTGGCTCCTCCCACTCTGTCTCTGCTCACTTAGAGAGTGGGCTGGGGAGAGTACGGGAGAGAGGAGAAGGCCCCTTTACTCTTTGGCCTCTTATCTAGTTTTAATAGGAAGCCCTGCATTGGGGCCTTATTGGCACAGCTGTCCAGTCCTTAGTTAGGTGGACACTTTGATTGCCACTGGGCATTGGGTCTCATGTCATTTTCTGTAGTGGTCTGAACTGGAGAGTGTCTTATCCTCCAAGACACTTCAATTTTTCTAATTTAATCTTAGGAAACCTTCCTTCCAATTTCTTCCTGAACTCCATAATCTTTGATATTTTGGCAAGAATTTTTTGCAGTGTCTCAAGCAACGGCTTGAGGAAGATTCTTAGTAGAAATTTTTGTCTAGTTTGGTGGCATGGTGGGAGTGGGTACTAAGCAAGGGAAAGTGGACAGGTGACTGCTTTCTACACCAGGAGAAAGCAAAGGAAGGAAGGAGACTTTTGTATCTTTCTTCTTCCAGATATTCCTGGGCCAGGATACTGCCAATCCTGCACTGTGGTAGGTCAGCTGCTCTATTGGTATCCTGAGAGCCTTTCCTGTGTCCTTGGAATAGGGTGCCAGAGACCAGAGGTGTCTTCCTTCCTGCCATCCTACCTGCCCTTGAGCGGCCAGCCTTCTCTTCCTTTGGAAGACACAAAGATACTTTCATTCTCTCATGTTCTTTTTTACCCAATGAGTCCCACATGCCCAGAGCCACAGGGAGATGGGCACATTCTAGGTAGATGGGTCTGGCACATGGTGGACACTGGTGGATGTTAGTGGAGTGAGTAAATCAGAGTGATCTACCTTGAGAAGTTCTGGGAAATGAGGGTGGAGAGGAGGGAGGGTGGAGAGAAGGCAAGAAGGTATGACATTGGACTCTGGAGTCCACTAGGAAATGTACTAGAAAATAAACAGGGAGTTTGGAGAATGCAGTGTCCTGGAAACTTCCGAGGAGAATTTTCTAGAAGGGATCCAGTCTTCCATTGACAGACAATGCAGAGTCAGGACTGAGAGGGAGCTGTGAGACTTGTTGTTGTCAGTGATTTGGGGGGGAATAGTGGTGGGCTATGGGTGGGAAAGGGCAGACTGCAGGGAGGTGCCACTCTGATGACGTGGAGGGGCAGGGCGAGCAGTGTCAAGGCTTCGCCAAGGATGTTGTGGGATGCAGAGACTTGAACAGGCCTGTGGGGATTGGGGAGTTGAGGAAGAATAGTGGGGGCCTCCTGCCTCCTTTCCCACAAAGTCACCACAGAGCTGTGTTTGGGTTGAATGCTTTAATGCCTGGATTTGAGGGGTTGATGGTGGTTGGGAAGAGTGCAGTGTGGGTGATGTAGGCACCTCTCATGGCCCAGCCTGGGATGTAGAGTCCTTGTCCTCAGGGCCTCATGACATCATTGGCATCAGGTATCAGGCTTTTCAGATAGTCCAAGATTCCTTTGATTGCTTTCTTTAGATCCTTCCCCATTTTATTGCCAAACTTGGTCAGTTTTCCCTCCGAGGTGATTGCTGGGAAATATGGGGAGAAAAATGTCAAGTTCAGGCTGGTTCTCTCCCAACCCTTCCCAGCATTCTGGCAACAACCTTCCACAGAACTAGGAATCAGTGGGGTCTTTTGATCTCACTTACATTTCATTCTCGTTCCCCCTCTTTCTAACCCCGCCTTTTTCCCATCCAAGTCGCTCCCCCACCCCTGCCCTTTTCTTCTCAACACCTCCCCAGTCATTTCCTCTCTTCTCTGGCTCATACCAGCAGTAGGAGTGAATTCTGTTGCCTCTTCTATGGAACTTTTGGAACTGTCCCCTTGGAGTACGGGATGAAGGATTTCAGGTGTTTGACTCATTGGTCTGGTGGATTTTATCACCACATTCTCTTTGGAAATCAGCTCTTCACTGAAGATGAAAGGCTCCATGGGGAGGTCCTCACTGGAGATAGAGGCTTTCCTGGGATGGTTGTTCGAAGCAAACTGGGAAGCTGGGACTAAGGAGATGGAGGGAGTATGGGGCAGAGAAAGAGCTCCTGGTGAGAAGCAGTCAGCCATTGCCATATCCGTCCATTAACGTGGTGAGGGCATCAGGGTGTATCCCACTTGTGTGTGGCTGAACCAACATACAAGTGGGATAGATGTCCTGTGCCAAGCCAATTCTACGAGCACTGCCGAGGTACATACTTGAGTTTGAATGACATTGATTAGGAATTACACTCTTCTCACCAAATCCATCTATAACCAGTTAAAAGAAATGAACTCGGCCTACACTTGTCTGCTTCATAGGAGGAATTCATAAATATTGGTTCTTTTCCTGTCAATTCTGGATATTATCACCTGAGATTAACCCATGTCTACAGATAATCTACAAAGTCAGACCTCCCCATGGGCATGGTTTTGGGATTATGGGGGTGAGGAGGCTGGACCTGGTGACCCTGCGGCATCCTTGCCTTAGGTGAACCAAGGCCCTTTGCTGGCTAGCGTTTGGATGTGAAGTGTGGTCCCATTCCAGGCTCTGATGACTAGTCAGCATGAACGCTGTTCAAATGGTTCCTGGTCCCCAGATCTTGGCCAGTTCTTGCAGCAGGAAGGATTAAGACCAACACCAAGAGGGACTGTCTTTA